CAAAATTTATTCCATAGTCACAAATATCATTGGCTTAGATGCCCTAGATTGAGGACATGTACACATATGAGTATGAGAAAACAGAGTAAAAAGCGTAGATGTAATTTTTTAAATTATTTAACCTTATTTATTTATTTATTCACCCTTAATCACCACACCACTTGCTGGCCCCAGAAGCATAGATGTATTGATAAAAGCTACATAAGTAAGTTTGGAATGTAGCCACCTGCAGAAAATTTCACTTTCTAAGGATCTGTTAAGACCATTTCTGTGTCGGGGAATACTTTGGTTAGGTTACTTCCATGTTTTACAAAGTAGAAAGGTGGTATCTGCATAACTAGTAAATTAGAATAGGATATTATTGGAGAAAAACACTAGAAGAGAGAGGGATTAAAATGAAGCTGAGTGCTGCATGTGGGAAAAGACAGGAGAGAAAGAACGATTAGGTTGGTAATATGCAGAAAAATACCCTGTGGAGAGCAAAATGCCTAATGAATTTATTCATTGTTTCTGCAGCATTATTTGTAAAGTGCTTGCTCTGTGACCTTATCCTATCAAAAAGCACTGTGTAGATGGATTTGTTTTTTCTCAAGGACTTTGGGAAGTTGGGACTTGAGAGGAAGATAAGGTAATACTGATAACATACCAAAGTTTAGAATCCATGTAAGACTTCCATAAGCTGTAGAACACCCTGAACTGAGGTGTTCTTAATCATGAGTACCAAACACAAGACAGAGAAGTTGAAGACTAGTAGTCAGAGAACACGAGTCCAGGCGGGCTAGCTGGGCTTGGATACAAGTTCTAATATTTACCAGCTGTTTAGAACTAGAGAAGAATACTTCAGTTCGGTCATGACACGTGAGTGAACAGGTGGTTAGTTACTGATTATTCCATTATTTGTTCAGTAATTCTTCACAAACTTATTTTTTTTCTTCATTTCTGCTAAGGAGACATAAAGTTGAAGAAAAACATTACCTTATCATTACAATGAGCACTACCCAAAGAACTTTGAAAGTTATCCGTCTTTTCAGTCTATCAGAGGGGTGAGGAGGCATGAAACCTAAATAATATGGAAAACAACAGTCCCCTTTGTGGGAAGAAAAAGATACTCTGTTGTTTCCATTTTTGTAGAAGAGCAGACAGAGAAGGAAGTTGCTATACAGGCTGGGAAAAACAACACCTGAAGTTATCATGGATTTCAAAGGCCAGTTGCTGAAATGGTGGGTAGGTTGCCCTAGGGGTCCCAAGTGAAGAACTATGTTCAGCTAACTCTCTTCCATGAGTCTTGGCCTATAAAGCTTCCGAGGAGAGCAGAAGGGCAGAGAGGAGAGCAGAAGGGCAGAGAGAAGCATCAGTGTGTAGATTCTGCTCAAATCTGAGGAAAGACAAAGAAATTGAGAAGAAAACAAATTTCTAGGAACTTAAATTTCCCCCAGGAGATCTAACCACACATTCAAATTGTTGGAACCCAAAGGTAGACTGAGTCTAAGGAAGAAAAAAAAAAATCCCACACCAAAATATCCCACAGACTAGATAGATACAGGTCCCAAAATAGCAGCCTGTCAAAAAAAGGAATGGACTTTTCTAGGAGTAAAAAATATTTAACCTAATTAATTACTAGATTTTCAAGTACATTGCCTGGAATATGACTTCAAAATTACTGGATACTTGAAGAAGCAAGAATATTAGACATTTGCCAACACAGAAGAGAACCCAGAAACAATCAAAATAGGAAATTATCAGATTGGGACTATATTTAAAAAAAAAAAAAAGAAAAGAAAAAAATGTAAAACAAACCAACAATAAAAAAGTTACAGAAATATAATTTTACATTACTACTAGAATATCTAGATGATAAACATGCATGTCATCAAATATGCACGACATTAATATAGTATTCAATGTAGAATAAGATTGATATGGCTATATCCTTGATTTCTTTATTATACACGATAGGCATGCTTTGTGTACATAAACCTTACTGTACTACACGAAGACAGACATCAACTATATGTTAACTAGGAATCACATTAAGAAGATACATTATGGGGACCAGCAGTTAGCATAATGGCTATGTTACTGAACTCCCATGTAGGTGACCATGGTTCGAATCCTGGACTTGGTGGCTTAAACTCATGTCCAGCACACGTGCATGTGCGCCCAAGATCCCGAGAGGAGAATGGAGGAGAAGGGATTGCGGCATGGCCATCCAGCCTGGGGGGTGATTTCTCGCTTTCTATCTCTCTGTCTCTCTCTGTCTTTTTGGCAAGTGCATGCTCCCTGTAGCAAAAGCCTCTCAAAAAAAAGACATTATGCACAAAAAAACTATAGGGAAAAAATGACAATGGTTTGCTATATGAAACAAATGAGGCCAGAAAACAAAGAAATAATTTCTCCAAATTTCTAAAAGATAAAACTTTCTGTTAACTCAGAATACTATTATGTATCTAGAAAGGCTATCGTAAATATCAGACAAAATGATGACATTTTTAAGACAAGAAAGCTAAATGCATGAGATAACTTTATTTATGAATTTACCATAATTTGGTTGCTTATTGTCCTGCTGTTTACATTTATGCTGCTTCCAGGTTTATTTTGCTTTAGTTTTTTTATATTATAAAGATAGCTTAAACATTGTTACAGAATTTAAAATAAAATTTCTTCTGTGTTAAATAACTAAGTTAGAAAACCTGGGTACTAAGGACATAAATATTTCCTATAGGAAGAAAACCTGGGTACTAAGGACATAAATATTTAACTTTATTAGAAATTGGTAGCAATTTTTCAACAAATTTGTACCATTTTACAGTTCAGGTTGCAATGTTTGCAAGTTCCAACTCTTAAACATCCTTGCCAATAATATTAGTATTTTCAATCATTGTAATTTAGTTCAGTCACACATATGTAGTGGTATTTCATAACGGTTTGTAATTTTCTGATGACTAGTCTTGTTGAGCATCTTTCACTTGCTTGTTATGAATTTATATTATCTATTTGTATAAGTAACTAGTCAAATCTTTTCTCTAGTTTTTGTCTTTACATTTGTTTAATTATTTTATTTATGATTAGGAGAATTTCTGTATTATAGTACAGATAAAAGTCCTTTGTCAGTTGTGGTGTCTTATAATTTCTTTTGATAAGCAGAAGTGTTTAATTATGCTGAAGTTAAACTCATTTTTCCTGGGACCAGCAGTTAGCGTAATGGCTATGTCGCTGGACTCCCACGTAGTGGACCGCAGTTCACATACTGTACCTGGTGGCTTAAATTCACGCCGGGCGTGTGTGCATGCATGCCCAAGATCCTGAGAGGAGAATGGAGGAGAAGGGATTGTGGCATGGCCATCCCCCCTGGGGGGTGATTTCTCGCTTTCTATCGCTCTGTCTCTCTCTCTCTCTCTGTGTCTGGCGAGCGCATGTGCCCTATAGCAAAAACCTCTAAAACAACAACAATAATAACAACAACAACAAAATTCATTTTTCTTGCTTTCATATGTTTTGTGCTTTTGTTCTGTTGTTTATTTTTAAAATGATAACAGAGGCCAGCAGGTACCATGGTGGTAAAAGTGCTAGACTCCCACATGCAGACCATAGTTCAAGGCCTATTCCTGGCGACTCGAAAATCATACCAGGTGCATGTGTCTGCATGCCCAGGAAAAGAATGAAGGGAAGGGACTGCAGCATGGTCATCCTCCTTGTCGGTGGGGGGGAGTATAAATTTTCACTTTCCCTCTCACTATCTGTCTCTGTCTCTCTCCTACGAGAGCACATACCATATGATAAAAACTTTTTAAAAAATAACAAACAAAAAAGTTGTGAAAAAATATTCTTACCATATTCTTCTAGAAATCTTGCAATTTTAAGCGTATCCACTTCAGTCTAAATTATTTATTTATGTGATAGGAGAGAAAGTTATTTTTTTCCCAGATCAATGTTCTGCCATTCCAACAATTTACAGTGAAGATGTACCATTAGTTATTGAATTACATTGGATCTTTTGTTGTAAATCCCATAGCCAAATTTGTGTGGCTGTATTTTTGGACTCCTTATCTGTTACATTAGTCTAACTTTTTAACTTTATATGAACAATATACTCCATTAATTGCTATAAATTTATACAGCAATTAATACAAAGTAACGAAATAAGATAATGTAAGTACACCTATTCTATTATTTTTTCTTAAGCTACTCTTGGCTATTCTAGGTACTTCAAATTTCCAGTATATGTTGGACTCAGTCTGTCAATTTCCACAAAACAAAGTGTAATCAGATTTTATTTGTATTATGTTAGCTCCACAGATTAATTGGTAGAAAATGACATCTTAACAATGTTAAATCTTCCAATTAATGTACATGATATAACTCTCCAATTTTTAAATCTTTACATTTTCTTGTAACTTTACTTTTTTTGTTTTCCAACACAAGATAGTTTATTTTTATTGAAGATTTTTCCTTAAGTATTGGGTGTCTCTTACTATTGTAAATAGTTTTTAATGGCATTATCCCATAGTTCTTTGTTAATGGTGAGAAATACTATTGCTCTTGTATAGTGGCTTTCTAACATTAAACTTTACTAGTCAATATTACATATAGCACTTTTTAAAAAAATTTCCCTGCTTATATAACTAAGCAATATGCAAATGAAGAAATGGTTTACTTCCTTTCCACTATTATTTTTTCTTCTTGCCATATTGCATGGCCTAGAAATTTCTTTTTAATAGTAAAATTAAATAGTGAAAACTAACATCCATGCTCTAAACTATAACTTACAGAAATTCGGTTCTGCTTGATTTTAGTGATATGTTCCTTATAGATGCCAGTTGTCATATTGAATAATTAACTTTCAGTCTCTAGTTTGTTGAGAGGTTGTTTCATAAATGAGCTTGTTTCTTTGTTTGTTTCTTAATGTCCTAGCTACACCTATTGAAAAAATCTTATATGTAGTCTTTAAAAAGTCTATCAATATATAGATTGTATTGAGTTATTTTCAAATCTAAATTAAGTAATCAGGTGAATAATCCTTACCTGTTCCTCCTTTTGGAGGGCAGATAGAACATGATGATTGGAGTTCACGTGATACATGGTTAGCCTCTCTGAACAAGATTAGTATTTCTATGTAATCAGGACTTACAACACCCTGATTGCTCCTATCTGATTCTATCTGATGCTCAGGTGTCTCTGAGACCAGCAGATGGCATAATGGTTATGTCACTGGACTCTCACATAGTTTGAGTCCCAGACCCGGCAGCTTGAAACTCATGCCAGGTGTATGTGCACATGTGCCTAAAATACTGACAGGAGAGTGGAGAAGGGATTGCTGTATGCCCATCACTCCTGGGGGATAATTTCTCATTTTCTGTCTCTCTGTCTCTGTGTCTCTGGAAAGCACATGTGCCTTATAGCAAAAATCTCGGTAGATAAATAAAAATAAATTTTAAAATTCATGTTAAATTAAAATTGCATTATTTAGGGCTCAATCAAAGTGGCTCATGCTGCTAAAATGATGCAGCTTAGAGACTGACGTCACATGGGAGGCCTGGGTTCAATTCCCAGTCTAACCTCAATAGGCTGGTCAATGTGATATGCCTTTATTGTTCTAGCTGAGAAGCTGAGGAATGGGCATTGCAGCATTGTGAGACTTATCTAAAGTTACTCTCTCTCCTCTTCTCTATTTATCACAAATGAATAAACTATTTTTTAAATTTAATTATTCAAAGAATGTATACTAATTTTTAACAAAGCTGGATTTGATTACCTACATTTTTATTAAGGACTACTATATCTATGTTCGTGAAAATATTGGCATATAGTTTTATTTTATTTCAATGTACATGTATAATTCTGGTAACAGGAAAGACTGTTCTCATTTAATGGACTGAATAATCTTTTTTTTTTCTGGAAAAATTATGTAAAATGGTGTTTTCTTTATCTGTTTGGTGATATTCATTTTTAAAGCTTTTGAGACTGGGACATTATTTATAGAAAGCAACTTTTAATGATAAACTTGATTTATGCTACTGCTTTGGTTAATCATTAGTTGTTTGTTTTCCTGTCCAAGAAGATGATCTATACCAACAAAATAGTAAGCTTAGACTATTTATATCTACTGTAATTGGTTTTAGAGAGAGAGTTTTACTATATGGCACATGTGCTCATCAGACGGACAGAAAGTGAGAAATCACCCCCCAGGAGGGATGACCATACCACAGTCTCTTCACCTTCAGTCTCCTCTTGGGATTTTGGGAATGTATGTACATGTGCCCAGCATGAGTTTTAAGAAACCAGGTCTGGGATTTGAACCATGCTTGGCCCTGTGTAAGTCCAGCAACTTAACCCTTATGCCATCTGCTAGTCCTTCTAATACCATTTAAAAATAGTTAGATTTAAATATATCTTACTCTACTTTCTTTTTGCCTCATTTGATCATTGTTTATTTTTTCTAATTTCATGTGAATTAGTTGAAAGATTTTAGGATTTAATCTTACCTCCACTTAATGTTTAACAGGTAGGCTTCTATTTGTTAGTGGTAGTACTTGAATTTTCAGTGAATCATTTTAACTTACCTCAGGTAATCTTCACATATGGTGGAGTAATATTAAATAGTCTACTTTTATTCCCTACCCCTGCTTTTCTATATTGTTCTCACACATCTTACTTTTTTTTTAATTGCCAGAGAGTGTGTGTGCTAACCAGAGATACTGAGAGAGAAAGAGAGAGTGGAGATGGGAGGAGAAAGAAAGAGGGAGAAAAAATTGGGCTAAAACTCTCCTACTATCCCTCTACTATGCACCTGCCTACAGTACTGTCTCATGCTTGTCCTCCCTACTAGTACGACTTCCAGTCTTTCATATTCTTCCAGGGAATGCAAACACGTTATATACTGAGCGGGGACATGCTGTATCATTCATAGTATAGTTTATTAATTTAGCATTTAATCTTCTAGATTCATTCACTTTGAATTGAATGACAGTTTGGCTATTTCTTATGACTGAGTACATTTCATAATATATATGTGTAATTTTTTAAAAATTCATTCATCAGTTTTGGGGCACTTAGATTGATTATAGGACTTAGCAATTGTAAATATTGTTGCAATAAATATGTCTTTAAGACTGACTGTTTTCCTGTCCTATAGGTAAATACCAAGAATTGGAAATAATGGGTCATATGGTAGTTCTAGTTGTAAAATGTTGATGAACTTCTATATTGTATTCCCCAGTGGCTGCATTATTTACATTGCCACCAACGGATCAGAAGGTTCACTTTCCACAATAGCCTGGCTAACACTTTTTTTGCCTTAGCTTTTTCCCCCAAGTTTTGTTTTGAAATAACCATTCTGACTGGGTTTAAGTGAGATCTCATTGTGGTTTTACTTTGCATTTCCCTTATGATAAGAGACATACTCAATTTCTCTTATCATACATAACCATTTGTATGTTTTCTTTTGAGAGTTTTGAGAGTTGTCTTTCAGCTCATTTTCTTCTTTTTAAATTGAATTATTAGTTTTTCTGCAGTTGTGTTACCTATATAATTGGGCTATCAATTCTTATTTAAAAAAATTGTTTACAAATATCTTCTCCCATTCTTTTGGTTGTTTCTTCATTCTATTTATTGTTTCCTTCACAGACAGTTTTTAGCTCGATGTAATCACTCCCTCTGTTTTTGGAACTGTTGCCTGTCCTTTAGGAATCTAATTTAAGAAATCCTTACCTCCTTCAATATCTTCAAATGTTTCTTCTGTATTCTTAACTAATAGTTTTATAGTTTGAGGTTTTACATTTAGATCTTTGATTCATTTTTAGATGATTTTCATTAATGGTGAGAGAGAGAGGTCCAGTTTCATTTTTGTGGAGATGGACATCTAATTCTCTTAGTATCATTTGCTGAAGATATTCTCTTTATTAGATTGTCTTGTACTCAGTCAAACATCAGTTGACTGTATGTTTTGTGGTTTATTTCTGGATTTGTTTTTCCATTGGTCTATGACTCTGCTTTTATTCCAATTCCATGCTATTTTGGTTATCATAGCTCTTTAATATGTTGATATTTTAAGGTCACATAGTGAAATGACTCCTAATTTATTCTTTTTGCACAGTATTGTCTTGGAAGTATGGAGTCTCATAATTCCATATAAATTTTGTCGTTGTTATTGTTTTTATTTCTGTGATGAATGCCACTAGAAGTTTGATTGGAATCACATTGAATTTATAAATTAATTTAGATAGAATTGACATTTTAATTATATCAGTTGTTCCAAACCAAAAGCAAGGAATATCTTTTTTATTTTTTTTGTATTATATTCTTTTTTTTTTCAGTTTTTAAGAGTTTTCTTTGTAGAGTTCTTTCACTTCTTTTGTTAGGTTTTTTCATAGGAACTTTATTTGTTTTTGTTTTTGTTTTGTTGTGGCTATTATAAATGAGATTATTTTCTTCAATTTTACCCAACTGTTCCTTGTTAGTATATAAAAATGCCACAGATTTCTATATATTGATTTTGTATCCTACAAATTTACTGAATACATTTATCACCTATAGGAGTTTTTTCATGGGTTCTTTTGGATTTTCTATTTATATAATCATGTTGTCTGCAAATAGGGATGATTTCAAGTCTTTCTTTCTTATCTGAATGCTACTTATTTCCCTCTGTTGTCTGATTATGTTGACTAGAAATTCTAATACTTGGGACCAGCAGTTAATGTAATGGCTATGTCACTGGACTCCCTCGTGGTTGACCACGGTTCGAGTCTCGGACCTGGTGGCTTAAACTCATGCTGGGCGCATGTGCGTATGTGCCCAAGATCCCAAGAGGAGAATGGAGGAGAAGGTATTGCGGCATGGCCATCCCCACTGGGGGTGATTTCTCGCTTTCTGTCTCTCTCTCTTTCTCTGTCTGTCTGGTGAGTGCACACACCCTATAGCAAAAAAACCTCTAAAAAAAAAAAAGAAAATAAAGAAATTCTAATACTCTGTTGAAAAGAAGCAGATAAATAAAATTATTAATGAAATAGACAATATTACAATAGATATTACAGAAATAAAAAGATCATAAGAGAATACTGAAAGTGACTTTATGGGTAAAAAACAAGAAAATCTAAATGAAGTGGACAAATTTCAAGACACATACAGTATTCCTAGATTGTATTAGGAAGAAATATAAAGCCTGAATAGACTAATAACGAACAATGAGATTGAATCAGTAATAAATAGTCCCCCAGAATGGAAAAGCCCAGGTTATGAGCCTTTTCTTTTTTCTTTTTTTGTCTTTCTTTTTTTTTTTTTTTT